ATGTGGCTAACAAGACTGAGAAACTGGATTTTAAATTTTATTTAATATATTTAAGTTGAATTTAAATTGCCAAAATGATACTTTCTGAGTATTAGACAACACAACTACTTATTTGCCCATCTTCTAAATTAAAACGTTTCCCTTTTTTCCAGTGTGGAAACTGCCAGACCTGTGGAGGGCAGTTGCAGCTACCACATTTACTCAAGCTCAGGAAAGGCCATTTCCATCCTTGTGGAAATTCTGGCTGCTTCATCACCACCTCCAGATCCAATATTGGAGTTTCTCAAGAAAAGTCATGGTTTCAGCCACTATGATTGAGAAGCTAAAGGACATTGCCAACTGCTTTATGTGCTCAACCCTAATGGAACACCCAGCAAATATCCACTTTGGACACAGCTACAGCTACTTAGGCATTTAGACCTTTTGCAAGGTGAAACCATGGCTTAAGGTGTTCCCATGTCCTTGCTGTGGTGTCTCATTCAAAGGAGGAAGCTGGTTATACAGTCATTACTTGGGAAGGCTCCTTGAGCTCATCCAAGAGATGGAGAAGACAGAGCAGGAGCTGCTGTGTGAGGCCCATGGGGAGCAGCTACATCTCTTCTGCGAAGAGGATGACCAGCTCATCTCTGGTGCTGTGAGTGGGGACCACAGCACCAAGGGCACACCACAGTGCTGGTGGAGGACGTGTGCCAGGGCCACAAGGTGAGTGTGCAGCCAGGCCTCAGCAGGGACCCGCCCATGCTGCTCATAAGACCTGAGAATATGGGCCTTGATACCTAAGTTGATAACCCTGAAACAGCTTTTTTCACATTATTCTTCTGAAAAAAAGTTTGTGACAGATCTTTGCTGAATCCGGTCCACGCTGACATTCAGAAGGCTGCTAAAACTCCTGTCTCCATTCTCCGTGTTACCATGGACTGCCCCTGTTCTGACACGTATGCAACCAAATACTTGCATATTTTGTTGCTTCACACTATGCATACTGTGAGTAACCACAATGTACCAGTTGCTGATGTAGGATCTGAAAATGGAAGAAACCCAAGCTCTAGTTCCATGGTTATCCTACAGTTCAATAGAAAGGACACAGTAGCCACAGTGAAAGCTCAGGAGCAGAGGGAGTGGTGCCTCCCTGAGGGGACTCCTGAGGACACAGGGCATCCAGACAGAGGGATTTGCACAAAAAGCCACAACCATGAGGCTCAGAGCACGTACAGAGGACAGGCAGATAGGAAAGGGGGAATAAAGCCAGGCCCCAGGACCTGAGTGTCACCCTCAATTTCAATCTTGGAGTCAGTCGCACCAGCCCCTGGGGACTTTCATTTGGGTAGTATGGGTCAGGGATATTGGAAAAATAACCCAGGCCCTCCTAATATAAAAAAGTAATTAGGAATAAAATGTAGATTATCCCTAAACAAAACAGAGGAACAGGGCAGTTTCAAACAAGACTCTAAAAATCATAGATTTGGAAATGACGATGTCTGGAGGGAGAGGCCTGGGCAGCTCATGAGTGTCTCCTGAGAGCTTGTAAAGTGGGCCTGTGTGGTGGCCAAAGGAAGGAACCGGCTTAGTCTTGCTGGCCCAAGTAGAGCTCAGGAGCTCGTGCTCAGTGTTGGCTTCTGGTTCTCTCCCAGGGCACAGACCTGGGCTTCTATGAAGGCTCCACAACCTTCTTAAGGGCACATCAGTCCTGACCCCTATTCAGCATATGGGGCGCTCTTAAGACTCCATGGAGCTGCTAAGGCCTTTAACAAGAATGCTCCTGTTTGAGTTTCTCTCCCACCAAGTGATAGGGAAGACTTTTATAAATAGCAAAAACCTATAAAATATTACAATATAAAATGGCTTCTGCTGTCTCTAACAGCAGTTTGTTTCATTTAGCTCAAAACTAATAGGCACTAATTGCTGAATGAAGCATTTGGTCTGACCCGAAGATAAAAGGGCACATCAAGGTCTTGAGCTCCCAGAGAGACTGAAGCAAACTGAGCATGAAAGTGTCAAGATAAAAAGTACCATTGCCAACATTCGCTCCTGTGACCCTGAACACCCCCTTCCTATGGGCTAGAATAGATAACTAGGCAAATCTCAAAGGTAAACTCCCCAACTGCAACAAACTGTTACATCTGAGTTGAAAAGATTAACTATTTTGTGACCGTGATTTAAACTGTGAGAATGAAATATAATCACCCAAATGAAGTCAAGGCTGTAAAACCCTATAAAAGGAGGAATTGTAATCCAGTGCATTGTTGATCCAGGCATGGCTTATGTGTGATCGACCCTAATCAATGAGTAAATTTGTTATTTTACTTCTATTCTGCTGCCTCTCTGTGTGTCACTTACTGATTCCTTCTGTAACACAAGTAGTAGGGAAAGGACCAGTAGAGGGTTATGGTTCTCACCCTCAGAGGCAGGCAGCTGAGGCTGAAATCTTAAGTCTGGCTTGGTAGACAGTCTGCCGTAAGTAATTCAATATCTTCTTTAATTTCCCCATTTGCAAGTAGTTGTAACACAACCCCCTCTGTTCCTACTACATATATCCAGGGTTGTGTGAGCTTTAAGGACATTGAAATATATAGAGCTTAGAAAAACACATGGCATATAGCCTGGACAATGCAACTTTTGCAAAATCAGGTGGAACCCTTTCCTGCAAGCATTAGAGAATTCATGAAAGTACTTGTTGAGTTTGCTGAGGACAGGACAATTCTTCTGATTCTGATATCTATGACCAAATTCAAATTACTTCAAGGAAAATATGATACATGGTTTTGAAAATTACCAGAAAATCTTGATATGGAAGCTTTACAATTGATGTCATGATGCTATTCTTCAAACTATGTCAGAACTCTCATGTCTGTATTGTCTGTTTCAGATAACTTCAGCTGGCATCCTGGTCTTTCTGACTCATCCATAAATATTCATAATGTTCTGTGTATGCTAAATACCCTGGAATCAGATGTTTTTCAGCACATTATTCTGTAAGATCTTGCAGTATTTTTTGTGGCTCCGTGTTCTGAGCGACATAGCTAGGACTGGATCAACAGAGGAGATTGCAATCCCCGCCCAGTGTTGGGCAGTTATCCCCACCTGGGCAACTTACTCAACTCCTTCTGAGTGTCTTTTTCCCACACTATAGAAAGGATGTTGAAAGCCACCAAGCTGTTCAGGGCAGGGGAGGAGATCAATATGTTATAGCACATACAGCTCTCTGCAGGCTCCCTCAAAAAGGGTAAAAACTCAATAAACATTCACTGTTATTTTAACACATCTTAGGGAGCTGGTATTCCCATTAACTGTCTAATGAATCAAATTCGTGCACTTTGCTTGCCCAATTTTTCCTTCAGGAAAAGTTGGAGAAAGCTGCCAGAAATTTGAGTGCACTTCAAGAAGTATGTATGAATCAGAGAGTGTTCATAAGAACACAGATAACTGAATGGAAGGTAAGAATCTAATTCATTGAAGATGAGATCTTTTTATTCTAGTGTTTTCCAACAGGGATGATTGACATAGAGCACAAAATGTTTTGTTTTTCTTTTTCCTCATTGTACCAGGCACAAGCACTGAAAACCAAATGTGCAGGGTCTATCTCCGTACTTATAAGGTACAGAAACTACCTATAATAGCACACAGGTAACAGTCCATTTCTATGGCTTGTTAGGCTCCACTATATCAGAGCTGGAAAAGCCCAAGGTCTTTTCCTTGGAGATTCAGACCAAGTTATGATGTTGCTGAGCTTTATGTGGCTATGAAAAGAAAATACTGAGAAGCTATGAAGGTTTGTGAACTAGGGGCTCTTTTAGTGCTGTGATGGGAGGGACAGAGGTTGTATGGTTATTTTTAGCAGAGCTCTCTACCTCTCCCTGTCCTGTGTGCTCAGATGCTGATTATCTGATTATGTATTCACATCCTGATCATCTGTGGCTTCCTCCAGTTCCTGCTCTCCTTTGTAGTGGTCCTGTTACCCCAGGCAGCTTCTGTCACACAGTTTCTCTCTGAGGAATGAGTACAATCCCAGTTCCCATTTCACCGGTTACCCTGAAAATTAACTTCTTTTCATGTGCAAATTATTAACATAGTGTCTGGCACAGGTCACAACCACAGCATGTTAACTGTTCCAAGAGACTAAGAAAAACATTGCAGAATGATAAATGCGTCAAATCATCAAGAAAATATAACATTGTGAATATATGTGCACTTAAAAATAGAGCCCTATGTACATGAAATAAAACTGACAGACTCAAAATAAGAAATAAAAAATTTAAAAATACTATCTGGAGGCCTTCATGACCTAGTTTAAGTACTGGGTCAAAAAATTAATGTAAGACAAATAATGAAAGAGGCGTTTATTAACACTGAAGAAAAATAAACTAAACAAACAGGTGTCTACCAAATACTTTATCCAAAAACAGAACACAAAATTTTCTCACATGCACATAGAACATTCTCTAGATTGTTTATGAGGCTATGAAACAAGCCTCAATAGCTTTTTCTTCAATTTTTAGTTTTATTAGTACATTTGTAACACAGTGATTACAGTCCTTGTGGGGAATTGGCACACGTACAACCACATCAATTCTTTTTTCAGCCCATTCCTCTCCTGTCCTCTTTCATCTCTTCCTCCCCTTCCCATACAAAAAAGATCTGTCCTCCCTACTTCTCTCACCTGTCTTTTATTTTTCTCTTTATTTATATTTAGGGTTTCTCATATAAGAGAAAGTGTAATATTTAAGCTTGTGTGTCTGAATTATTCCGCTTACTATTATAGTCTCAAGGTACGTCCATTTTCCTACAGATGACTAGTGTATCATTTTTTACGGCAGAGTAGTACTCTGTGGTGTATAAATGCCGTATTTTCAAAAAAAAAAAAAGCAACAACAGAATGAAAAGACAACTTAAAGAATGTAGGGAAAATGTTTGCCAGCTATTCCTCAGATAGATGATTAGTATTAGAAAATATAAAGAATTTGAAAAAATTAGACTCCCCCCAATAAAAAATAGGCAAGTGAAACAAATAGACAGTTCTCAGAAGAAGTATAAATGGCCAATAAATATGTGAAAAATGTTCAACGTTGCTGGCCACCTAGTTAGGCTAGCACCTTGTTAGACTCTTCCAAGGGAAGATCCTGTCCCTATAAGTCACTAGCCTGGCCTCAGCCTCTCACAGAGACCCATCAGGGAAGGAGTCAGGATCACCAAGGCCAACCGGTCTCTCTGTAAATATAAGAAGCAAGCAGTATGTGGGTGAAGGGCCTAGATGACCACAGAGATGGACAGGGCTGGTTTAGGGCTCAATGTGGTCTGAGCAGGGCAGGGCTGGGGTAGCAGGCAGGACCTTTTGGCGCTTGTACGGCTCCAGACTGTCATACTGTCCAGCGCTGGGGTCTGGGAAAACCCTTCGCTGCCCCCAGAGTCCCACAGTGGGATTCAGGTGGTGTCCTTCCCTCCCATCCTTCATGTCATGGGACTTTCTGCAGGAACTCCAGGAATCCTCTGTTTGGGCACCCTCTTTTTGCGCTGTGCACCGCCAGAAACCACCCAAAGGTCGAACGGGGAAAAAGAACAAAAGAGAAAGAGTTATTAGAAGAGACAAACTGGTGAACAGGTTTGCAAGAAATATACTCTTATTCATGACATTGTTCTTTCAGAACCTTAACCTGTTGTCTCTCATGTGTGACAATGGCAAGGAAAGAGTATTTTAAACACCTGCATTCTCCTTTGAGAGTCACCCTCCATGCAGACCAAACTCAGTGCTGTACTGGGTCCTCCCTGGGCAGAGGAACCCATACGGAAGGGGAGACCACAGTTCAGGAGGCCCCAAGAGTCCCACATCCCAACCTGCTCAAGCTGGAGACTTCTGAAGTCCTGCTGCCTCCTCATGTCAGGTCCTGAAACCTGAGGCTTGATCCAGTCCAAGGGGCAGCCCACTGTTCATGAGGCCTTGAAGACATGCAGGACCCCATAAGGACAGGGAGCATGGGACAGGCTGAGGTCAGTCTTGGGGCTCACCTGGAGTAGGGGAGGCCCTGAGCAAGACCAAGGTACTGACCCCTGGTGACAGCCTGGGTCAAGCCCCTCACCATCACTCCAGAGCTGCAGGACATCAGTACCCTACTACTTCACTGCTCACCCAAGTCCCTTTTAATTGTTTTGGAGCAGGCTAGGCTTCAGTATGTCACAGAAGTGCTCTCCAGACAACTCAAGGAGCTGCATGGGTTCTGATCCTCTGGTTTGGGGCAAGTTCCACACATGAGTGACAACACTTCTTCCTCATATCTAAAATCAAGTTCTTACTTTTTTAGAGTAAGGGACAAACTTAACCCATAATCCTTCAAATATGGTGGTGGACAAACAGGTCCTATTTTTCTTCCTGTACCTTGCTGTAGCCCAGTGAATCGAAACTCAGATCACACAGGTTCAGATACTGTGAGTCACTGTCACCAGGCAGGAAAAGTGGGAGCTCTTATAGACTACTAAATGTTGACAAGGAACATAGGATATGTGTCTAATATAAAATAAAGAAAATAATAGATAAACAGAAGACAGCCTTTCACAGAACAAGAGTCCTCTACCCTCTCAATGCCAGTCTGAAGCCGCTGGACAGAGGGCACAGTGTAACTCTCCTGTTTACTAAGTAGCAGCTTTCTTGCCTACTCCTCACCCTCAGCAAATGAGCCAACAGCTCTGGGAGCAAGCAGGAAATTCTATTCACTAGCTCATGAATAGAGAAGGGGAGCTGCTGCTCTAAAGGACCGCCTACCTAGCAGGCCTGCGGTGTCTGTTTTTACTGGAATATGGTGTGGAAGTTGCTCTCAAGAGTTGTTAACAGAAGCAGAGATTTCTAGGTATCAGATGCCCACTCTTGTCTTCTCTAATAAGTGTGTGGTCAGATCTCTCATGGTGCTGGTGGCTGTGGGCCTTTTTGTTGGTTTTTAATTAAAATGAGCGTAAAATGCTCTAGAGTATCAACGTGGGCTGTGGACCTCAAGGAACCAGTCAGGAGTTGCCCACACCCCAGGATGGACAGTTGAGATACGTGATATCTGGGTGGTTGGTAGCACGAGCATGCGATTATCAGCATTTAGGTTGAAGCTTTTGCAAACAAGCAGCATCTGACTGGCCACCCTACAAGGAACAAGGAATGGCAGCGTCCAGTTGACACCATTGCTCCAATGACTGCAGGCAAAGGGTGCAGGGAACACAACCAGGCAGCAGCAGGAATTCTGCCAAAGCCTTGTTTCTTGAATAGTTCTTTTAGTGTTGCTTTCATCACACTTTTCCTTCTATTTTCACAAGACCAGGGAAAAGGGAACTTAGTGCTAACCATATCGCACCTTCCTGGGTCCTGCACAAAGGTGAACTTTTCAGTTATTCAATAGGTGTTAGAGGGCTAGAGTTCTGTTGTCAGAGAATAAATGAGTGGGTCCTATAAACTAGATGAATGTAAGACACATTCACAAGAGAAAGGCAAACAGGAACTATTAAATGTGCATTAGATGTGCATAGGGGAATAAGAAAGAGATAATTAATGTAAAAGAGTGATTGGAAATTGGACTTTTAGAGCATTTTAATGAAAGAGCAATAAATTGTTAGCTAAATTGCATGGCAAAAAATAAAGACACTGAATTTCCAGGATGACAAATTGTGGGAAGGCAAATATATAGGAAATCCTAATGGCACAGAAAGGCTGGTTCTTACAAGATTTGTTGTGGTGCTTTCTCTGGCATTTACACTAAGATAGGAGTCTTTGGGAATTAATTTCTGTCCTTGCTAGAGATTCAAAGAGGTATACACCTTTACATATTTAAGTCCTGCCTTTAGGCTAAGAGGAGGAGAAGAGGGAGCTTTCATTAAATGTTTTTCTCAACTCTCTTTAGCTCAAATAATCTCAGGCTGTGTGGTATCTTTTCGAGTAGCTCATTCTGGAACCCTTCACCTGTTCATGACAACTTAGCCCCCGCTGGCCTGACCAGGGGCTCTTCTGACACAGGGGGCTTAGAGGATCATCTGACTTCTTCAAGGTCTCCTTGGGCAGACATGGAGGCCCCAGAAGCCCGCTGACATCCAGAAAGAAATACCTCTGGCTTCATTTACCCCATTCTTAGAGATAGGATGTCAGAGAACCTCAATATCAGCAAATATTAGCTACAAATTATTGCAACATTTAGAAATTTTACTTTGCTCATGAAATTTAAGGTTGTTTGTAATTTAACTAATTGCACCCTGAACATGCCATTTGCCCACTCAGGCATGGCCATGTAAAACTGACTGGAACTTACTTTTCACAAAAAACCTATATATTCAGTTAAGGGCTATTTGATCATATTGCAATCATAAATAAGATATCCTATAATCATTCCAACAATAACTATTGACTGTGATTTTAAAATATTTCAAAGTAGCTGGCTCTAGCATGCTCTGGAGAAGACCAACCTGTCTTTTTCCTAGAACCCAGTTCCACTGAAATTCATTTTTTACTCATACTCTCTTTTCTAGTTGAAGCCTTTCATGGTAAGCCAACTTTAGCTTTCTCATAGCTTATTTGATAATTCCCAAGGCAAACTCACAGGTCTGGCAGTGTCCAGGACTGTAACGCCAATCAGTATGTCAGTGGTTGGAACAGTCACTACTATTTTGATTTCTATACTGTCTTTTGCAGTGAGCAGACATTTGGAAGTCTCCTTCATCCCCCACAGAGGAACACAAGTGGCTCAAACAAAATGGGAAAAGGAGAGCTTGTGTCTTGGGGTCGCTCCACTCATCAACCAATCAGCCCTGGAAATCAAACTGCTAAGTGCACTGAGGAGGGTGCAGAGGTCAAAAAGTAATCATCACAGTATCTTGGTTTCCCTTCAATCAGACTGACTGTCTGTGGTATCTTTACAGGCTTTCGATCCACTGATTTAGTACAGATTTATTAAATACCCACCTAAAACTCCACACTATTCTAGGGGATGGAGAAATAGCAATGGAGAAAAATGGCCAAATTTTGCCCGTATGGGAGTCCCATATTTTAAAGCCAAGATTTTCTCTTTTCCTTACTCACCTCGTGGAGACAAGAACAAAGGAGAATGTTGATAAACCTGGAAAAAGGGCCGCGGAGTGGCAGAGAAGGACGCCTTGGGGAAGGTGAAGATGTGGGAGCCAGCAGTCATGTTGTAAAAGGACACAGCTCCAGCCTCATAGTCGAGAACAACCCCCACCAGCAGGGGACGCTCACGCAGCTCAAGGGCAGTCAGGGGAGAGGTCAGGGCTACATAGCCATTCTCTGTGCAAAGCTGGATGGCCCAGAATCCAAACTCAGGTGTCTTTTTCATGCCAAGGCCTCTCTGCACATTTTCCATACAAACTCCCACATCCCAGCCACTGCCTTCTCCAACATCCACTTCAAAGTAATGTTTTCCTGAGGTGAAGCCCTCATAGCCCAGGACGCAAGGGAAGGTGGTAAATCTCCGGGAAGAAAGTTCAAGATTCTGCTGGCTGCATCCACGAGACACTTATCTCTGATCTTGAGAAAGATTTAGGGCTGGATGAGCTGTATCTGGATCTAGAGTCATGATGACTACAACATAAAGAAAACCAAACATTTCTTTTTATAGTGAGAATATAATTTTAAATAAAATCAACCTGTAAGCAATCATTAGTTTTTACTCATTATGTCAGCTAGCCCATAAATTGAAAATCATAATATCTATTGCAGAAAATGTTGGGGTGAATCCAGTGAGTTACTTTTTGCCTATTTTTAGTAAAACTCTGGGGATGCAGTAATTTCCTATTTTTCCATCATCTTCATTATCACTTAGTCATTCAGTGTTGGCAAGGACCAGAACTAAATAGAACATGGCTCCTGTCCTGTCCAAAGCCCCTCTTCTCCCCTGATGGCCTCCCAGTCGTGGATTAGCGGAGCTGCAATGAGCCCTTACTCATTTCTGCATCATAACCACATAGACATGCGGGAAGAAATTGTGTAAAAATAGTATAAATAACAAATCAAATGTTATATCCGTATACACATGGCATTTAAAGTGTTTATAACACAAGATATGATATATTTTATAATAAATTAAAAGCCAGTCATCTATATACTAATACAATTGTTATTTACAATACACAATATAGAATATGTTCCGCAACCTGTAGATTTTTTTTTTTTTTTTACTTTTTTTATCCTCATTGAGTTTATTGGTACATTTTAGGTATACAATACAGTTACACTCATTATTGGGCTCTTGTACCTTTACATGACAGGTCTTGGTTCTCATTTTTCCCCATGTCCCTGCCCTCCCTTCACCCCCTCCTCCTCTCCCCATTTACAAACACTTTATTTCCATTTTCTCATATTTTTTTATTTTCCCTTATTATCTTTCCCCTACCCTTCCCACTTTCCCTACACCTTTAGCCCTTTTTTTCATATTTCACGTTGTCAATTATCTCATTAGGATCTTATGTACTATTATAGCTTTTCACACCAGAGAACTATTTAGTATTTACACATGTGTGACTTACATATTCCACTTAGGAGTATATCCTCAATATGCATCCATTTTCCTATGAATGACTCTAATTTATCATTCTTTATGGCTGAGTAGTATTCCATTTTATAGAAAAACCACATCTTCTTTATCCAGTTTCCAACTGATGGGCAAATGGGCTGTTTCCAAATTTTAGCTATTACAAACTGTGCCGCTATAAACATAGGTGTACATATATCACTGTGATACGATTCTTTTAATTCTTTTGGAAAGATACCCAGCAGAGGGATGGCTGGGTCAAATGGAACCTCTAGTTCCAGCTCATTGAGGTATCTCCATATTGATTTCCGTAGTCACAACCTGTAGATTTTATATACATGAATTGAACTTTGTATTTATGTATGTTACATGTTATGATAGGTGTAGGTTTCTCTCTCCTTTTATGTAAATATAATGAATAGAAGGATAGTTTCATTATCAACTGGACAAAATCAAGCTGTAGGACAAATATACAATGCATCACAACAGAGCTGGTAGAGCAGCGACTATGGTAAAGGAACAGGAATATGTTTATAAGACTTTAATATAATATAGGAACTCAATTTCCACATCAGCAGGTCTGATGCATAAGACCTTCTCTACCTACTTAGCGAGGGCTTTGCAAGTCACAATTATGATCCTAATGCTCTTAGACCACAAGTGGCAGCTAAATTTACTTTACCTACTTTTATGATATCAGAGTTCCTCTTTGCCCCATGGGTTACATTTATGTTAATTACTCTAGGTAACCAGCTCTTATCTAGCCTTATGACCGATGCACAGTAAAGATCTGGATTTTATCTTTAAACTGTACTATCAGATGTACATGTTATGTATAATAGATGTACAAGATGTATTTATAAATTTTGTTTATCCTAAGAATACACTTGGATTTAACATTGGAAAGTAAATCATCAAATCACTACATTGTGACATTACAAGAAAGAACTACAATGTGCTCCCCATGAATGATTCTAATTCATGGACAAAATTCAGTGCCTTTTGAAGGCTGTGCTCTTTGCATTCAAAGATCACCAACTTCCCCCTAGATCTGAAATTCTATCAAAAAACAGAATAAAAAGTGTTACATGATATTCACAAAGCAGGAGCTTATTAGTAACAATAAGCTTCTGGAAATTAAAAATGACAGAACTCAATAAAAAATTCATAAATCACAGATAAACCAAAGCATTTGAAGGACTGATAGATATACAAAAGAAAAACAAACAAAACAAAACAAAATAAAAACCTCAACCTCACTGGTAAAATGGGAGAAACTGAAATTAAGAGTACAATAGGTACCGTTTCAAATCCATTAGGTGAAAAGTATAAATTATACACTGAAAAACAGTGGGGTATGGAGCAGCAGTTGTTCTTTTGTTTTTCAACTGAAGAAGTACAATCTCAGGATCCATAGGATCTCGTAACCCTAAGATATGAATCTCAGATATCAGCACTTTCCCCTCAAGGTCTTGTTCACCAAATTACATCTTCTCCTCACAAGGTCTAAGGCAGAATTCTGTGACCAAGGGCATTAATATTTCTGAAGTAAAAGTATATTCAAAGTAAGTGGGATAAAGCAGGACTTTACGCAGCCTCATATCAGTGCAGTCCAGATGAGTACCCTGGGGCAGACAGACTCAAGTCAAGGGGTCCATCTCTGGACCCACATTCTTGGTGTTCAGGCTCCTGTACAATTCCTTAAGTGTGGGCAGGGCCTGAGAATCACTTCTGACTGGCAGAATGTACCTAAGATGAGGGAATAAAGCTCCTGTAGTTATGATTCATCATTTATACCCCATCTTGCCAGCAGATTTGCTATGGAGAATCTTTCTCCTGAGTTCATGCTGAAAAAATAATTGGCTACATGTGATACTCATGAGCAAGGGGCTGACAGGAGGCCGGTGGAACTGAGGAAGCCTCCAGCCACAGCCAGCAAGAAGTCAGGGCCCTAATCCTGCAACCCAAGGGGAATGAACCCTGCCAGCAAGTAAGAGAGCAAGGGCGAGTACCTTCCCTAGACCAGGGTCCAGATAAGAGCACGACCTGGTCACACCTTCACTGAAGCCTCCTGAGACCCTAAGGAGAGGGCCCCCAAGCTGTACCTGGATTCCTGACTCATAAAGTCTGTGACATGTGTTTGCACTGTTTTACGTAATTTTAGTAGTTTGTTGTAGGCAATAAATAACTCATGCAGTCACCAAATCATTTCAAGTTAGAGGCAATTTTGCAACCAAATGAATGGTAAAATTTCCAAAGCTTTTGGGTCGATTTGGTAATTATGGATATGAAATTTTAGAACTATAGAAAACAGTATTTAACAGAAGAGGGAGCAGAAAACCCAAGCATGCAGCACTAATTCTTTTTCTTCTTACATGGTTCTAAATTTAATTGTGTTACATGAGTACACAAAACTATTCAAACCTAGTCTATAATACTCACCCACCTTTTTCGCACTTCTCTCAGAATTTAAAATATTCACAGAAGCACTAGAATCACATCTAACACCATGCCCTGGGTTCATCATCTGCCAGGCAGGTGCTAGAAGCTCACAGGTGAAAGCACAACTGAATGAAATGGAACCTGTCACTATCTCATTTCTCAGATGTGGAAACAGAATGGTGGGAGTTGCTATCACCAGAGCAGACTGCAGGAATCAGAAGGTCCTACAGGTGATCAGGATGTGGTATACACACATCACGTAAGCACACAGAATAGAGACAGCCTTGCTGAATATAGCTCCACAATCTCTGCCTGAAAGCACCGAGGGAGTGCCACACCCAAATACCTTGATGACGTCTTAACATTTTCTTCACATCCATGTAAAGCTTAGCAACATCACACACAGTCTTAATGGACAAGGGAAAGGCCTCAGGCATTTCCAGCTTCACAGCACAAGTCCTGGAAGAAGCAGAGGCAGAGATTCCTCAGTGGTCCTCTCCATTCAGCTTTGTTTACCCAGACCCTCCCTTCCTGTGTTCATATGGGACTCACCTGCTCAAGGTGCCTTTCACATCCTGTAAGGAAAAGAGGAAAGTGTGTTAGCACCAGGATTCTATGGGCTGTGGCACGGGAGACACTGTCTGTAAACACAACTCCCCAAGAAGGAAAGAGGGACCCAGCCTGAGTAACTGCCGCAGAGTCAGAAGCAATGATCTCACCCAGCCTGCGCCACTCCACAGGAGGCTGCAACCTCCCTGCAGAAGACCATGCGGAAGAGTAGTGGCCACAGTGGGATCAGCCTGTGGCTGCCAGGGACTCAGACAGAAGTCTGGCAAGACTGGCTCTCAGGCACCTGATGTCCTACAGAGTGAACCCATGTAGAGATCACTTGTCACAAAGGTCCTCCATGGTGGCTACATACACAGCTCCTGATACTGAGCCACCAAAGTGGTGACAACTGGTATCACAAGGTGCTGGAGCAGATGTGCTACCCTCTCAAGGAGAGTGTGACCTCCAGTCCCACTAGTGGGAGCCAGAATTAACATCTTCCGTGGTTTGTCTTAATGGCACATCTTTCATGAAGCTGTAAGAAGCCCCACAATAGCTCTGGAACAAGAACTTTACTAACAAATCAGAGAAAAATTTATCCCTTTTTGGGCGGCCCCACTGTCACCATCTGTCACCTGGGACATATTTTAGGAGAGAGACAGGCGGACAGGCATTTGTGTAGATGGACCAAGGGGAAATGATGACACAAGCTAACCACTAGAGAAGAAACTTAACCTTTTCTTTCCCTTTCCCTTGTTAATACTGCTGAAGATTGAACCCAGAGCCTTGCCCATGGTAAGCAAGTTCTCCACTACTGATCAACATCTTCAGTACATATTTTAAAATTTTAATTTCCTATCGAGTTTCACCAGACCACCCCAGAGAGTCTCACATTTGCAAAGCTTCTGCTTGAGCCTCCCCACTAACTGGGATTATAGGAATGGAGCACTGTGTCACAGGGAAGTATACTTCTATATTTCACATACAGGGACCCCATAGACTAATGAGGCTGCCCTGATGATATTGACGCAAAATATAAGAGAATAATTTCCTAAAGTCCCTACACTGTGGCACACATTGCAGTGGAAACTGGCCTTGCCAATCTTCTCATTCTTCCTGACCATTCTCCCAACAGCTCAGTATCAGAAGCCTCCTTTCCTTCTCTAAGTCTGTAGCCTCACCCGTAGCAGATACTGTTCTGAGCCTCGGCATTTTGCCTCCAGCTCAACCTTACGGTCCGCAAGTTCATCGCTCTTCTGCTCCAGCATCGTCGTAACCTCCCTTAGTTTTGCCAGCATCTGTTCTTCTTCTTTCTCCAGCCTCCAAAGAAAAGACTTCTCCTCCTCCTCATGTAGAAAACTGTGGAGATTCCTAAAATCGGACTTGATTTTTTGTCTGTGAATCTCTACTGTATTCTAGAAATCAGAAAGTTTAATTAATAGTATAAAAGAAACAAGCATCCATACAACATGAGTGGATAAACAAAACGTAGTATATAATGGAGAATCACCGATCGCAAGTAATTTTAAAAGAATAAAAACCTGACCCACAAAATAATAAGCATGAACCTTGAATCAGAGGTTAACATTCCTCTAAGTGAAATACACCGGAGTGAAGAGGATAAATATTATAGATTACACTTATATTGGATATCTACAATAGTTAAATTTGTAGAGACAGAAAACAGATTAGTGGTTACCAGGTGGTGGGAATTAGTTAATGGGGACAGAGTCTCACACTGGAAGATGAAAAAGTTCTAATTGATACAGTGATGGTTTCCAAACAACAGGAAAGTGCTTCATACCACTGAGCTGCACACTTAATACAATCACAGATTTCAAATTTTGTCTATTTACTACACATAGAAATGAATGTATGATAGGATACTGTGATGTAATTCTCTCATAAATCTCTCAAGATTTTAGAATATACCAAACTCAGATGCAGTGAGGTTGGCTCTGACTTCTCTAAAGTCACCTGAACAATTTCTGTGTTTTAAGCACACAGGCTGGAAGGAAAGTCCTTGATTCATGGCCAGGGAAGGTCCCATCATGGCAGGCTTGTGTTGTGGTAAGGGTCACCCTAATCGTTCCTATGTAGGATGATTGAATCTGATGGAGACTGGAGAAGCGTTCCTCCTGTACCGAAGGCTTTCCCATATGCGTTAGCTACACTCAAGGTCTTCCCCTGCCCAAGTTGCCAGAAATGACCGACAGAAGTGCGTTCCCTGGAAGCTCTGGCTCACCCTCCCCACATGAAGTCAAAGGTTGGAAATGACCCTGGGAGTAGCAGACTGACTCACTGGCCTGTATACGTGGACCAGCTAGTTAAATTCAGGGAGAATAAACCATTGGTGCGCTAGCCCAGTCACTCTCTGTGTCTAAGCATAGGAATAGAAAATAGTTTGAGATTGATGACCTCAGATTCTCACCTGCCACTCATTTATCTGTGATGTCAGGAATGCTTTCTGATTCATACATTCTGTGTAGAGTTCACTCAGTTTTGCCACAGCTTTCTGCAGCTTTTCCTGAGGGAAAAATTGTGCAAAGAAAGTCTATTGAATTTGATTATTCACTAAACACCTAAAGGGAATCCTGGCACACTGAGATGTGTTGAAATAACTGAGTATTTGTTGAGTTCTTACACTTTCCCAGACAGCCTGCTGAGGGCTATATGTGACATACAGATCCTCTAACTAATCTAAACAGGTGGTAGAATTTTTTATATCCTTCCTAGTCTGTGGAAAAAGGGACAAATGCTGGTAAATAATTCACCTACAAGGAATGTAATTGGTCAGCAGGGGGTCAGTGATTCCAATCTGCTGTGCTGACCAGGGTCTGACCCATGTCCAACACCACACTGTGACCAGGGACTCCACTGCCCCTGCTGTATGCCACAAGCTAGTCTAAGTTTACATATACTAATATCCTCAAAGCTAATTCAGTATCCGGACGTATGCATTAAGGAGGGACTGAGTTATCTCCACCTTTACGTGAAGAAACCAAGGCAATGAAGACATTTAATACCTTACCCGGAACTACCATTCTAGTCAGTGAGACAGCTCAGCTATAGGCTTCTGAGGCTGACAATCACCACCCTGTGCTGCTCCTTCCCCTACCGCTTTGTGGGAGAGAAACTCAAACGGGAACATCTTCATTACTGGTATTTGCAGCTCCATGGAGTCTAAGGAAGCACCACGTGTGTTGAGCAATGATCAGGGCTGATGTGACCTTAGGAAGGCCACAAGTTTTCATAGATCTCAGCTCTTTGTCATGGAGGACAAACCAGGAACCCACACTGAGTACATGGTCCTCAGCTCCAGCAAGGCTGAGGGTGGGGGCAGCAGGATTATGCCCTGGCCCGGCCCATACAAACTCTAAGGGACACGAACGATCGTGCTATTCAGACCGTTCCCTCCAGTCATACCCAGCACACTCATTTCCTACTCTGTGACTTTTTTTGAAACTTGCTTGAGACTATCATCTCATTGCCTTTCTTCACGGGATAATTAGAATTCTAACCTTGAAATTCCTTTATTTTAGGAGTTCCTGGGGGATTATTTTCAATTATTGCCAGTTTACTCTGCAAGTGAAAATACCCAGTTGCAGGTAGCACTGTGATCTAGGTTTGAGACTGGGTGCTGACACAGGTTCTGGGCCCTGTCCTCTTTCACCTGACCCACCTATATACACCCTAGGGCCTGGTTATGGTAAGGCAGGAGCACCCCAAGTTGTGCCTTTACACCACGTGCAATTTCCTCTATCTAAACACCCTGCATGGGTTGAGTTTATTTATCCTTAGGAGCCACCTCTGGGATGCACCACTCCCTCTCTTCCTCCACCTCTCATTGCCCAAGGCCAGGCTCCAGGCCATCACTTTACTGGTCTGTGACTCTACTGGGCTACAGGGTCCCCACAGGTAGTGAGTGTATCCTCTTCCCCTCCATTATGTTTCCAGGTCCTCCTGAAGAGTCCTGCATACTATGGTTTCTCACAGTATACACAGTGTGAAGCAGAACTCATGCAGGGGTTTGGCTGAACATGTCCCAGAGCATGTAGAAGTCCATGATAACACAAACAATGGGACAGGAGTCTGAGCATCCAGCAGAATGTCAGGATGGACAGTTTGGACTGGACTCTGCAAAAAAATTCATCATAAGCTATTTTTCAACTAGAAAAAAAAAAAGGCTGTATTTCAGGGTCCTCACCTTAGTCTTTGGGGTCAGTCCCCTCAGGCCTAGGGAGGAGTAGAAGGTGGGTCCCTGCTGAGGCCCAGATGCACACTCACCTTGTAGCCCTGGCACACGTCCTCCACCAATGCCGTGGTGTGCCCTTGGTGCTGCAGTGCCCGCTCACAGCGCCAGCAGATGAGCTGTTCGTCATCTTCACAGAAGAGCTGGAGCTGTTCTCCGTGAGCCTCACACACCAGATTATGGTCCATCTCCTCGAAGACTTCAGTAATGCTCTCCAAATGCCTGTTGGCCCGGAAGCTGTCTTTATTGAATGGGGCATGACACTGAGGGCAGGGGAACATCTTCTCTCCCTGACTGGGTTGTACCCGTAAAGGTACTGTTCCAAGCACATCTGGCAGAAGCTGTGTCCACAGTTGATGCTCACTGGGCTCATCATCAGGTTCTGACAGATGGAGCAGGTGGTGATCTCTTTAATCTTATTGGTGATGATAGCCAAGGCCATAGCCTTCCTCAGGTAGCTCCAATGTTGGATTTAGAGGTGAAGAGTAACCAGAATTTCCACAGGGATGGAAATCATCTCTCCTGAGCCTTTGTACGAGGAGCTGGTTGGGATTGGCCTCCGCAGGTTGCAGACCTCTCTCTAGAAGGAAGAAACAGGTCAGAATTTAGAACATGAGCAAATCTGAGTTGTTTAATACTATAGCTACTGCAATGCGTGGGCATTTAAATTTAATTTAATGAAATTTAAAATCCTTACTATACACATTTCAGTTGCTGAATAGTTGCATATGACTGGTGCCTATAGAAGAGCCCAGCCTGATGCGGCGGTGAGTATGTGTACTTCTAGCCATTTGGGAGGGTAATACAGGAGGATCACAATGTTAAAGCCAGCCTCAGATATTCAGTGACATCCTATCTCAAAATAAAAGCAAAAAAGCAAAATAATGATGATAATAAAATAGGTGGGGATATAACTCAGTGTAGGGCACTTGCCTCATATGTGTAATGCCCCGGGTTCCATCCCCAGCAACACACACACACACACACACCAGACAGGACATAGAACATTCCATCATAGTGGAAAGCAACAAGGTAACAGGCTCTAAGAAGCAAGAGGCTGAGAAAGAGGGAAAATGACAGCAGAGTTGCTCACAGAAAATACAGCAAGAACCACACCTCGGGGGTCGGGGGGATGTGAAAATCCTTCGTAGTCCAAAAAGCATCAAAAATAGCCAGTTAACATCAGAACTATCTCCTTATAATTGGGACTAACAAACATTTGGTCACTTGTATGTTCTATGGAGGATTCTGTTTAAACAATCAAACTGAACTGCACCTGGATGCCTATCCCACTCCACACGTCACAAAAAACAGATTTATAAAGTTTTAATGGAGACACAACCAGGGCCGAATAAAAGAAGCCAAGACAACTGGAAGAAAGACTGTCTTCTTTTTATGATCGCTGAATGAACTGACAGAAAGAGAACTACAAAGAGGCTGGTGGAGGAGAGGTGAGTCGTGGGGCTAAATTATTTCCGGGGACAGAGCGCTGGAGAAATAGGAAGCTCACTGTCTCTTCTTCAGGACAGGACCTTCCTCAAGGAAAATTGCAGGTCTTGGGAGAGCAGGGAGGGGCAAAGCTCGGGCAAGGGGAGTGTGGAGAAGGGCTGGGTATCAGGACTGTGGGAAAATGTGCTGGAAGCTCCGTGTCCACCAATGAGGACCCGACAAGACGCTGTGGAGGCGGGACCATGTCTGGCCCCTTGTCTCTTGCAATAGCTGTTTCTGTGAACTCTTCCGTGTCACCCCACAATCCCACCTCATCCTTGGGAGCGGGGAGGTTGGGCTGGTGAATTTTTCTCTGAGCAGACTCTCTGGCCTTCCCTAGGGTAGATAGTAGAGTGCTCTGCTGTCAGGAAACACTGTGCACCCCACCACCGCGCTCTCACACACCCACCCCTGCTTTGACTCTGAGGAGCCCTGCTTGGGTCCATCAGAAAAACCCCTTACCCGCTGCGGGTCCTCTCGGAGCTGCCACTTCCGGAAGCTGAGGCTGTTCGAAAGCGAAACTACTTCGGGAGGTGGAGCCAATAGATGTGGCGCCAAAAAGATTGCCTCTGGCCTCAGCTTGTCCTGAAAGGGAACAAAGAGCATGGGGAATACGGGCTTTTTAAAAATAGCAAACACAAGCGGGACATATTAATAACTCAGTAAACTCCCTGTGAGCCCAGCACAGGCGGTGGAGGAGCAAGAGGTCTGCAAAGGGCCAGCTCATAGCTCTGATGTGAGATCTCTCTTGAGTTCTCAACCCTCCTGGAGTCCACACACTCCTGACCTGTGGTATTTTCCGATCCTTCTAGGTGATGTGTGGTTTTCTCACTGATCTGATTGGGGGTGGCGAGGGGAAGGAACACAGCAAGCTCCTTGACCTCACAACATCCTCCAAGCCAGCCTCCCACGCCTCTCTGTTCTGTGCTGTCTCTTTTTCTTCCTTGCTCCCCCTCTGCAGGACTCAGGTACTTGTCAGTATCCCAACACACCCAGCTAGGACAGCAAACAAGATTCAGTAATGGCCCAGCAATGAGTACATTTGACCCAGGGATAACCCTGAGACCCCTATCTGCACTAAACTAAAATCCAAGTGGATTAAAGATTAAATATTAAAACAGAAACACTAAACTTGCTGGAAGATAAATTAGGTAGAACTCTTGAAGATAGTGGCATTGGGAAAGACTTTATGAACAAATTCTTAGTAACACAGGAAGTAGCACAAAGAATTAACAACTGGGATCTCATCTTTTTAAAAAGCTTCTGCACTGCAAGAGAAATCACCGACAGAGCTAAGAGACAACCTACAATGTGGGAAAAAATTTTTGCTAGCTGTTCCTCAGACAAAGGTCTACTATCCAGAATATATAAAAAACTTTTAAAAAATCACAAGCCCCCCAAATAAAAAGACAAGATTCAAAAATGGGCATCTGAAATGAACAGACACTTCTCAGACAAACAAGTAAAAGCAGCAAATAAAATGATGTTCAGCATCATTGGTCACTTGAGAGCTGTAGATGAAAGCAACATTGAGATTCCACCTCACCCCAGAAAGAATGGCTGCTATCAAGAAATCAATAATAAATGTTGATGGGGTTGTGGGGAGATAGAAACCCTTCTTCATTGTTAGTAGGAGTGCAGACTGGTGCAACCACTGTGGGAATTGATATGGAGATACCACAAAGAACTAGGATTAGAAGTCCTATTTGACCCAGCTACTCTTCTGCTGGGTATCTTCCCAAAAGAATTAAAAGAATGATATATGCTCACCCATGTTTATAGTGGCACAGTTTGTAATAGGTGAAACTTGGAAACAGCCCAATTGCCCATCAATTGGAGCCTGGATAAAGATGTTTTTGTTTTATGTTTTTTTTAATGGAGTACTACTCATCCATAAAGAGTGAGAAACTAGAGACATTCATAGCTAAGTGGATGCATTGAGGCCATACTCTTAAGTGAAATTAATAAGACACATATGTAAATATCAGTTCCTCTGGTGTAAAAAATTAAAAGTGTAAATAAGGGTCAAAATGTGTAATTGATATTGTATAATAGGAAGAAAAGGTCTAAAGGAGGAGGGGAAGTGGGCGGGGTAGGGGAAAGGTAAGAAGGGAAAAGGTAAGAAAAGGAAAAACATGGAATCAAAGTCTTTGTAAATAAAGAATGGTGGAGTGGGTGAAGGGAAGGCAGGGGAATGGAGAGAAACAAAAACCAAGATACATCATGTAAAAGTATAAGATCCCAGTGATGAACGTAATTGTATTGTATACCTAAATTGTACCAATAAACTGAATGGGTAGGAAGCGTGAAATAATGCTCCCCTCCCACTCTAAATGGGACTATTTGGGGCACCCTGACCTTCTGGGAGTTGTGGAGCCTTCTGTCATTGTGCCACTTAATAACTCATTGTGTCCTGGCAGGTCCTGTGGGAGCAGAGTCCACACAGCACAGAACAGGTCAACTGCTGAGAAACTAACACAGACACTGAAGCAGGAATGAGCCCCACAATCTCAGTTCTCATAATGACTCCTTGCACACAGCCTTCACTTCTAGCTCTGTATCGCACCTATGGATTCAGGCATAGTGTGCTCCAAATTTGTCCTATCAAAGCAACAAGAAAAGGGAGCTTGCAAATGCTAAAATGAAAAGCAAACAACTACCACCACCAAAATACACCACCATAAAGGTAAAAATCAGACAGAGCCTGTGTTGTGAAAGCTGCCCTTCCTCATACCTCTTTCCTGTTGCTTGAGGAGGAACTTGGTCATGCATGAGCTTTAAGGACTAGAAGGGGAAAGGGACAGAGGAGCATCTGCATCCCCAAAGCTAGACCTAGGGTGATGCCAACAGGCACTGTCTGTACAGGAAGGTGTCATCACCAGTAAGTAATGCTGGGCTGAGCCTGTCAATCTAAGGTACAGAGGACCCAGGCCTTGAGTGGGGACTGGATCACCAGACACTCCTGGAAGAGCCCTGGACTGAGTATTTCTCTGGGAAGAGTTGGCCCAGGTGGCCCCTGAGCACCTTCCCTGGACTCTTTCAGGCTTCCTTCTCACCCAGCCCTCCTTGACCATCTGCTCTCTCTCACTCCCAAATCCACTTAAATCCCACTACTTTCTTTCCAGGACATGTTCATGGAATCTTTCATTTATTTATATTGGGGTTTTTTTTTTTTCCTCTGCTTTCCCTATGAAAGTGAGCGTCCCATATGGGCAAAGAATCTCATCAATATTGTTCTCTGGCAGATCACAGATCACTACACATCAGGCATAGTGATGCATATTAAAGGAAAGACTGAATGCCTGACTTGCAACTCAACAAATATCTTAGGAAATGTATTCACATTTGCACATCCAATGTGTGTTATGATCCGAATGGCATGAGCCTGTGTGGTAATGTGTCCTGGAGTGTATATACATAGTATTTACATGTGTGTTGGGTTGGGTAGGCAACTCACTGCCACCAATATTATCAGAAAGTATGAAAATGCATGATGGTTACTGGTTTTCTTGCCAACTACTTCCCTCCATCCAATAGAATATGATGATGGTTTCAACTGGGGAAAAGATTACAAATAAAGTATGACAAAAGCAGAACTTCTGGAAATGAAAGCTGAGAGCTTTGGTAACATGCAAATATCAAAATGATCCTGAGTATAAACTCCCAGATAATCATAAGCAAGACAGTACGTAATACTTAAAAGTAGGAAGGATATAGGAACAAAGGGGGCAAAATCTGGGAGATGCTGACAACTATTTAGAGTAATGACAACAAACTACATCTTTCAAGAAAATTTTGGGAATTTTTGCAAAGAGTTTGTACATACTCATCATGCAAGCATAAAAGGTAGCTTTTCAAACTTCCACTATATTGGGGGAAAAGCTTCACCAAATCCTGTTCACTCATGGGTGAACTGAGGTTTAGGGCAGATAATTTTCCCTGGGCTCTGGTGAGTCCTACATCCTGCCGT